AGGTGGATCTCTGAGTTCGAGGCCAGCCTGCTCTACAAAGTGAGTTCCAGGACAGCCAGGGCTACACAGAGAAACCCTGTCTCCAAAAACCAAAAAAAGAAAACAAATTCTTATGTGTATGGGTGTTTTGTCTGTATGTGCACATGTATGTGTCCAACATGCATGCAGTGCCCGTGGAAGCCAGAAGAGAGTGACACTTTTGGTAGCCATGAGAGGATCTCATGCACCCCTGGCCTCCACTTTGTTATGTAGCTGAAGAGAATCTTGAACTCCTGAGTCTCAGAGTCCAACTTCTAAGTGTGGATCATAGGTGTATGCCACTACACTCAGCTTCCTGCATGCTAGGACTGAACCTGGGCCTTCCTGCATGCTAGGACTGAACCTGGGGACTGAACCTGGGCCTTCCTGCATGCTAGGACCGAACCTGGGCCTTCCTGCATGCTAGGCAAGCGCTCTCCCACTGAGCCACGTGCCAGGGCCTCACGCTGCCTTCCTCTTCTCATCACCCCCCCCACGCCCCCCCCACTCCTTCCACAGCGGCTCACCTTCAGCTGGCTGCAGTACCCCTCCAACTCTTCTGCCTCCTGCCGCCGCCTTTCCAGGTTCTCACTCAGCACCGAGCACTCGCTCTTGACCGTGGAAGGAGGCAGGGTTACACAGGGCAGTGGGGAAAGCTTAGAGGGGGAGCAGGGTCTTATCCTGCGGGGGACTGGGCGTGCACTATGGTGAAGGTAGGCTTCACGGTGGGAACTTAGCCCTGGAGGAAGAGGCCACGTGAGAGGCACAGGAATCCAAGTGTCACACCTGCAGCGTCTGAACATGCTGGTTAACCCTCGTAGTCTTTTCCTTCAAGTTGGTGATGGAGTCTTTGGCACACACCAATCCACTGTTGACCCCACTCTGGAAAAGAGTCGGAGACACCAAGAAAATTCTAGAGCTAGCAGGCTGTGCTTTCAGCTTGCTTTTGCCCTGGGAGGGTGTGTGGCTTTGGATAAAGGGTGGCACCCTTGGATTTAGTTTCCTGTTGGGTAAAGGCAGAAGTAGACTGACACTCTTCATGGTCTTCTGAGGGAAGTAAGCAGGGAAGACAGTTTCAAATTTTGAGGCAAAGGCCTAAAAGCCCCCAGTTGGAGGCGGGGTATAACTCAGCAGGAGAGCCTCTGCTAGAATCCTTCAGTGAGGTGCTGGGGTGTGACTCAGTGGTAGAGAACTTGCCCAGCATGCACAAGATCCTAGGTCCCAGCCCCCAGTGTGTACCCATAAAAGCCCTCCTCCTTCTCTCTCTGCCCTCTAGAGGATAAAATTGACAGCCATCTTTATCATCAAATGGAGGCTGAGAAATGTTTCCAAGTGCCTCTTTAGCCCCCTCACCTCCTCTGGCCAACATGCTCAGTTCTGTTCGTTTTGGTTTGGTTTTGAGGCAGGGTGTCATTATGTAGACCAGGCTGTCCTGGAACTCAGAGATCAGCCTGACTCTGCCCCCTGAGTGCTAGGATTAAAGGTGTGTGCCACCGTACCTCGGTTTCCATTCTCAGGTCTTACCAACTGTTCACAGGTGAGGCAGAAGCTTGTGCCTTGTGCAAACTGGTTTTTTTCTGTCTTTTGCCACAGCAGTCAAATTTGTTACATGACGGCTGCCGCTTACATTCTTGTTTCTTAACTGAAAATAAAGACTTCGAGAGCTCCTTTGCAGCTGGCTGAGATCATGTGGCCATGCTAGCCAATACAGATGGGTGGGCACAGTGAGGACACTAAGTAAATGTTGAAAGAACAGGTATGCCTTCCTCTACCTTCCTCTTCCTCAGCCTCTTTTTCTATCCTCATTTTTGTTTTTCTTTTCTCTTTTTTTTTTTTTTTTTAAGGAGTCTGACTCTGTAGCCCAGGCTATGTACTCATTAAATAGCCCCAGATTGACCTCAAAATCCTGGAGATGTTCCTGCCTCAGCTTCCGATGTATTGGAATAACTGGCAAGATCACTGCGCCCAGCTCTCTTTGCCTTTTAAGACAGTCTTGGCCGGGCGGTGGTGGCGCACAACTTTAATCCCAGCACTCAGGAGGCAGAGGCAGGCGGAGCTCTGAGTTCGAGGCCAGCCTGGTGTACAGAGAGAGTTCCAGGACAGCCAGGGTGGTTACCTAGAGAAACCCTGTCCCCAAAATAAATAATAAATGAATATAAAGATTATCAGCAAAATGGCAGAGGATGAATTCTAAAATTCCACACTTCCATAAAAGATGGAAATAAATCAGAAACAGTTGATTCACTCTCTAGCACACTGAAAACTGAGGATGCGATGAGCCAGGTATGGTGGCACACATCTCTTATCCTGGCACTTGGGAGGTGATGCTCTGAGGAATGCTGCCTGCCATGTCATGAGCATTTATGTACGGAGAAGAAGGCCATATGGTCAGGAGCCTAGGTCTCTAGCCAAAGGCCAGGGTGAGTTGAGGCACCCACAGGGCAGCGTCTTAGTGGGGCATCTTCCAGCCCTGGTAAGTCATCAGATGAATACAGGCAGAAGCATCTTCATCCCGTCAGAGGACTACAGTCCTCACAGAACAGTTGACTGCACCCACATCCCTTGATGGACTGTCTACTGTCGCAAGGTATTTGATTACACTGTGTGAAGATTCGTTACTGTGATAACAAGTTAAATGGCCAACAGCTAGGCAGGAGGTATAGGCAGGACATCCAGACAGAGAGCTCAGGGAAGAAGGGAGAGGAGTCGCCGGCTACACACAGAGGAAGCAGGACATGCAGGAGGAGAGGTAAAAGCCACGAGATTGATAGAAACAAGCTAATTTAAGTTGTTAGAGCTAGTTAGAAACAAGCCTAAGCTAAGGCTGAGCTTTGCTAGTGAATAAGAAGTCTCCGTGTCATTATTGGGGAGCTGGCTGGTGAGACAGAGAAAGGTGTATTCCGGTTTACAGCACCTTCATCCCATCAGAAGATTAAATCCTGGATGAAATGCTAACCATACTCTCATCTCACCAGAGGACTATGGCCTAGAACATAATAGTAACTCACCCTCATCTCTTCAGAGGACCATAGTCCTGGCTGAAACGCTGACTGTATCCTCATCCAGCCCTGAGCCAGAACCTTCCAACTTAGTCACTCCCTGGTGGGCTGTATTAAGTATCAAGACAACTTGTTTCAAAGCATTTCAAAACTAATATGCAAAAATGTCTTTCTGAACTGAAAACTCAGAAGGCTACTGTAGGGTGTTCCTCTGGGGACTCAGAACATTCATCCTGGGTCAGCTCCTTTCACTTCCCGTGTGATCTCAGGGAGGGCGTGTCAGCTTGCCATGCCTCAGTTTCCCTACCTGTGCAATATAGATATGACTAACAGCTATCATCACAGGATGACTACTTCAAATGAAATGGATACAAACTTGGGAAGGGGTACTCAGGATCCTTGGAGGAGAGAGAGGAGGAGAGACAGGAAAGCCAAGGAGTTGTAGGCAGGTGAACAACCCTGTCCTGTGGCATGTTCTGCCCCCATCTACTCCTGCACTGTACACCTGTATTCCCTGTCTGGAGCCTGCCTCAGTTTCCCTTCCCATCAAATGGGGAGTAAGGATAGATTGCTATATGACCTGATCCACAGCTACACGGTAATTAATGTCTAGATTGGTAAAACAAATAACCAATGTCAGCATGAAGGTGGAGGCAGGAGAATCAGGTGTTCAAGGCCATCCTCTACTTCATAGTGAATTTGAGGGCTGTAGCTCAGTTCGAGTGCTCGCCTAGCACACACAAGGGCCTGGGTTCCATCCCCAGCATTGCACAAACTAGGTGTGGTGGTGCACACCTGCACTCTTGAGGTCATCCTTGTTCAAGTCATCCTTGGCTACAAAGAGATTTTGAAGTCAACCTGGGATGCAGGAGACCCGTTCTGAAAAAATCAAAGGGCCAAAGTACAACAAAGCTGGGAATCCTGGTCCCTGCCTGCTGACCCAGCGCTTGGGAGGCTGAGCAAAGAGGAGCACGTGCATTCCAGGCCAGAGCAGGCTGTGCATTGAGGTCACTACCCTAGAACGGAATAAAGACGACGGCATGGTGTGTCCAGGAGGGACTGAGACGCTGCCACAGAATGTGTGTCCGAGTGTCCTTAGCAGGGGAGACCCCGGTGGTCCCTGTCGTCATAGTGACCACCAAGAGCACCACTGCCCCTTACAGCATTGCTGTCTCCAGGGAAGCTAGGACTGGACACCGACAACGACGACCTGTCATCATGCCAACACAACATTCCTCCTCATGAGCACTGTCACTATGGCTCTCTAAGGCTCCCCTGTCTGTCTGTCTGTCTCTCTCTCTCTCTTTGGGGGCTCTGTGTATCTCTCTGGGTCTTGGCTCTGTCTCCCCCATCTCTGTTCCTCTATCTCTCTGAGTCTCTATCCCCCATTTCTGGTTCCCCCACCCCACCCCCCTGTAGCTCACATACCGGGCACCCTCCTCAGCCCCTCCCCTCCCACCAGGTGTGGTTGCCGGTCCCACAACAGAGAGGAGGAAGCTGCAGCAGACAACAGAGAGGAGGAAGCTGCCGCAGAAAGGGCTCGAGGCCCACACAGTGCTCACCAGCTTTGGTCCCTGCAGCCCAGAGCTGTGTGGACATCAGCGGTCCTTGGGGGCCCTGTTAGTAGTTCTGGTGGGAGGGAGGCATCCAGCTCCAGACTCTGCATGAGAACCCCTGGAAGGCTCTGGGGTGTGGGGAGTCTACCCCACTCCTGGCTTCCCATCCAGCACTAGCCCCACCTCCTCTGGCCTTCCCGCCTCCTCTTTCCCGTTCTAAAGGAGTCTTAGGGAAGAAAGACCTTTTCTTTGGTATCAAACCCAGCAGCCTTCTAAACTAGCCTCTGGTTCTTACAAGCACTCCATACCCTTGTGACCTTGGGAATGGTGCTTCCTTCTACACCTCGGTTAATTTTGCCTTCATCTTTCAACTGGGTCATTATATCACCCCCTAACAGACGCTCTAAGGAGGGAGGTGACGCCACCGGATGTGCACACAGCAGGATAGCAGTAAAGGGAAGAGAGCCGGTCTGCCAAGCTGCTTCTCCCTCCCCGCCGAAGCCACAGTGTCCCTGTGGCCCTTGGGACAACACCATGCTCTGCAGCCTGTGTGAGCAGTGTCCTGCTCTCTCTCTAGCCCCATCTCACCTATGCCAAAGCCTTGCCCTTTACCCTGTCCTGTCCTGTCCTGTTTCCGCCCTGTCTCTTCAGACATGTTCCTGGTGGCTGCAATGTTGTTTTCCTGCCCGAGGAATACCTGATTTCAGCGTCAAGGTCCAGCCTGTGTGCTCTCCTTTCTACACAAACACTCTGGTTCTTCTTCTTCGGGGTGACCACAGTGTCCTTACTGTCCCCACCAGTGTAGACTACCATCACACCAACCGTCTGCCACGACTGACCCCCTAAGCTGATCCTGCTACTTCCCAGCTGTGTGACCTTTCGTATGCTATTGAACCTTTCTGGTCCTCCATATCTGCACCATCAGAGAAATGAGGCTAAATACTGACAGAAATAACTACTACTGCTGACGGTATTGGGGTGGTTGGCTGTCTGCCACACAAAGGCTCAGACATGAGTGAGTGGACTTCTCTTCATCCTAAGGACAGCCTGTGGAGATGGGTCCAGCTTTTTGTCTTGGATTCTACCATTTCCTATCGCCTATGCCATTATTAAGTGAGATTATATACTTCTCACAGTGGGGACAAGTCCTCTGCCCTCCACTCACAGGCCACGATTAAATCTCTATAAGATTCTGCCTTACATTTGATTTTACTTTATTTTATTTTTTTAAGACAAGGTCTCTCTGTGTAGACCAGGTTGGCTCCCAAATCATAGAGATCCACCTGCCTTTGCCTCCCAGGTACTGGGATTAAAGGCATGGACCACCATGCCTAGCATTTATACATTTTCTACATTCATTTATTTATTACCTCAGCACCTGCACGCCAGGGCTTGTGTGTGGAGGTCAGAGGGCACCTTGCAGGAGTTGGTTCTCTATACCACGTGGGGTTCAGGGATTGAACTCAGGCTGTCAAGGCTTGGAAGCACCCACTGGGCCTTATATAGGGTTTAATGTCTCAGTGACATCATCTTGTCCTGGTTGCCCTTACATGATGACCTCCCAGTTTCCGAGCTCAGACCCTCTGTCCCCACCCCACTCAGCAAGACAGGCTGAGGCTTAGATAGACTAGGTCTCCGGCTCTGTTTGGTAAGACAGAAGCTATACAAGACAAATCTTGGGGCAATGATGCAGTTGGGATTCTCTTTGGGTCACCAACCAGCTCCCAGATGAAGACATGGAGACATTATTATTATGAATTCTTGGTCTCAGCTTAGACTTGTCCCATTGGCTCTTATAATTTTTTAACCTGTTTCTCTTCATCTACGTTTGGCCTGTTACCTTTCTTTCTTTCTGTATATCCTACTTTCCTGCTTCCTCCATGTCTCTCTGTCTGGCCCCTGGTGCCTCCCTGGTGGCTCTCTTTTTTTTTTCCTCTGAGCCTAAATTCTCCTGTTTTTACCCTCCCTGCCCAGAAGTCCCGCCTATACCTCCTCCCTCGCTATTGGCCATTCGGCTTTCTGTTAGACCAGTGAGGTACCTTAGGCAGGCAAGGTAAAACAGCAACACATCTTTACATAGTTAAATATCCCACAACATGATGCACTGGCCTATTGGGTGAAGGCACCTGAGTCTGACCCCCAGACCCATTCAGTCGAGGGAAGTTTCACTAAGTGGTCCTCTGACCTTCTCATATGTGCTGTAGCACACATGGGCCCCGCCCCCACACAAAAATAAATAAAAGTAATTTTTGTTTGTTTGTTTTTTGTTTTTCGAGACAGGATTCTCTGTGTAGCTTTGCACCTTTCCTGGAACTCGCTTTGGAGACCAGGCTGGCCTCGAACTCACAGAGATCCGCCTGCCTCTGCCTCTCGAGTGCTGGGATTAAAGGCGTGTACCACCACCACCCAGCTAATTTTTTTAAAAAAGGAATAGAAACTGAAGAAAAGGCTCAGTGATTAGAGCATTGGCTGCTTTTTTCAGAGGACCCAGGTTCAGTTCCCAGGATCTACACAGCAGCTCAAAATCATCCATAACTCCAGTTTCAGGGGATCTGATGCCCTCTTCTGGCCCCCTTGGACACCAGACCCACACATGGTGCTCTAACACACATGCAGGCAGGCAGAACACTGCACACATAAAATAAAACTAAATCCCTTTTTAAAATCCTAGCACAGGCCGGGCGATGGTGGCGCACGCCTTTAATTCCAGCACTCGGGATGCAGAGGCAGGAGGATCTCTGTGAGTTCAAGACCAGCCTGCTCTACAGAGCGAGTTCCAGGTAAATGGAACAGCCAGGGCTATGCAGAGAAACCCTGTCTCGAAAAACCAAAAACCAATCAAATTCAGCACAGGTACCTGCCAAGGCCTCTCTCTCTTCCCAGTTGAGAACCTGCAGTTTTTCTCACCAGAACCCCGACTCTAGTGACTTTCTGGGTTTTTTTCCTCATAGATTATAATCTCATCCAAGTCACCACCAGAACTAGTCTATGAACTTGATTATCCAAAAGATATCAGTAGGTAAAGACAATTGCCACCAAGCCTGAGGACCTGAGTTCTGTCTTTGAGTTCTCCATGGTGTCGGGGGAGAACACACTCCTCCAACTTGTAGAGGAACATGCCCCTCGCCAAACCATCCAGTCAATCGATGGCGAAAGACAGGTCAAGGGAACGCTTCCCACACAAACCTTTAGAGATAGAGCTTGAGAGCCACCAAATGGTGTGTGAGGCTGATGCCTAGGCACTCCCTGGGGATCGCCCTTGGAAAACCATCACTCCGCTTAATAAGTGGGTCTTGTGTTCCCTCTGAGCACCTCTCCTCCTAACTGGCCTGTTTAAAGTCTATATTAAAACGTCTTTAATGAAATCCCTGCCTGTGCTTTATAAACAGAAAGTCTTTCCTGCATGGAAGCCACAAACCCCAGTTTGGCCTGAGTCCAGGTTCCTGGGAGATTAGGATAATGCCTCAGTCTGGGTGTGGTGTTGCTTGTCTTTAACTCCAGCTAGTGGCAGAGGAAGGAGAGTGTCTGCGTTTGAGGCCAGCCTGGTCTACATAGGGAGTTCCAGGCCAGCCAGGGCTTCATAGTGAGAGAGACACTCTCTCAAAAGACAAACAAAATCAACGACAAAAATAATGCCTCAAGCTGCTGAGGGTGACGCTTGGAGCTGTGTCTCTGTCCTCTATTCCTGACATCTCATCTTAGGCTTTCGAGAGAATATTTACTAGATGCTGGATGCATGCGCTCAGGCCTCTCATCCCATCTACTTGGAGGGCAGGGGGATTGCAGGAAATTGACTAAGCAGTGAGCCCCTGCCTCAAAGAGTAAAAGGAGAGCTCAGGCGTGACTCAGTGGTAGAGTTCTGCCTTGAATCCTCCAGTGAGGGGCTGGGGACATGGCCCAGTGTCTTCTTTGTGTTGCTTAGGATGAAACCCAGGGCCTGACACTTGATACTGTCATTCACGCCTGTCTTCTGGTCTCAGTGACTAGAACTTCTCATTCCAAACTAGATCAGACCCCACCCCCTCGGATCTGCCTACCTCCGTTGAGTAGTCCCCGGCCCTCCCCACATCAGCCGCTCACCAGTTCTGTGATGTCAGGGTCCTCCGGAGCCCAGGGTGTTATAGGAGAAGCAGGTGGCCCTGGCAGCGCCAGGGGACCACTGTCCTCTGTGGTGGAGTCTGTGCCTGAGGAGTCGGGCTCCATTGCAGCCAGGTTGAGCAAGGTCAAGTTGGTGCAGGCTGAGGACTGCTTGAGGTTCAGGCACCAGTGCATTGGCTCTTTGGACATCCGGGGCTCCACCCTGCAGGTGCCCCAGGAGATGGTGGGGATGGGGGCCTTATGTCCTCAGCACAGTAGCTGCACTCGCCGAGCCAACGGATCTCCTGTTCCCATCACCTACTGTCACCCTGCTGCCTGCTTTGGACTCCTGCTCAGCCCTCAGGGCCTGCTTTCGTTCTTCTTCCATCACGCCCCCTCTCCTCCCAATGCTCCCTTCAACCCGCTGCCTGCCTGCCCTCCCTGGGCTATCATGCCCTCTTCCTGGCCCCTCCTTCCCCTCCAGGACCTTTGCTTTGCTGTAGGCAGTGTTGGGCACTAGGCCTGTCACCAACAGGGTACAGGAAACCCACCCATGGAAGGACACGGCCTTCTTTTTCTTCGTGATCCCCTTGGTAGGGCTGGTCACCCCCCCGGGAGCCTCGGGGACCAGTTGGGCGCGGCTCTCGACCCCCACAGGTGGGTCCCCCGCCTCATGGATCTCTTTGGACTGCCAGATTGTCTTCACCACCACGCTTGCCATGGCGCGTGGGGCCTGCTCCCAGGGGGAGACTCACCATCTACTCTGCCCGCCCCCCCCCCCCCTGGCGCTCAGGGTCCCCTAGCTCCTGGCCTGGGTCATAAAGGGCCTAACCACTGGGTCACAGGGAGGGGCATGAGGGGGAACAGGGGCTGGCTCAGGGCGTCCCCTGCAGATCTCAGTGGACTATTCCGGCCCGCCCCCCCCCCTCCCCCCCGGTTCTGGTTCTACAGCTCTCTCATTCCAGTCCAGAGCACACAGTGGGCCGGGCCCTAACCCTGCAGCCAGCTCTGGGATTCAGTCCCAGGTCGTCTATCTTGCTTCATGCCTTGCCTGAGATCTGAGAGACTTAACAGGATCATTTCCAAGTCCTTTCCTGGAGGACTTGGTGTTCTGTGGCGGTCTGGGAGGCAGAATTGGGAAGAGAAACACCGAATAAAAAGACCCCAGCATTAGAAGTGCCACAGCGAGGAGAGTCAGGAGAAGTCATGGCACACGTCAGAACTTCTCAACACGTGTTTGGGGATTTAGGACTCATACTGTGCGTGAATTTTACCTGCTAAAAAAGAACCCAAGCCAGGCGGTGGCGGCACACGCCTTTAATCCCAGCACTCAGGAGGCAGAGGCAGGTGGATCTCTGTGAGTTTGAAGCTGGTCTCGTTTACAAAGAGAATTCCAAAACAGCCAGGGCTGTTACACAGAGAAACCCTGTCTCGAAAAACAGAGCAAAATACAAAAACAAAAACAAAAAAGAATACAGGGGCCTGGAGAGATGCTGAGTGGTTAAGGGCACTGGCTGCTCTTCTAGAAGTCCTGGGGTTCAATTCCCAGCCTCACATGGTGGCTCAGAAACATCCATAACTCCAGTCCTAGAGTATTTTAGGATGAACTCTTCTGGTCTCTGGGAGCACCAAGCACACAGGTGGTTCACAGACATACATGCATTCAAAACACTCATATACATGAAACAAAAATGATAAAATCTCAAAATAATAGCTGGGCAGTGATTTTGCATGATTTCAACCTCTGCACTCTGGGAGCAGAGACAAGAGTTTGAGGCCAGCCTGGTCTACAGAGTGAGTTCTACGACAGCCAGGGCTACCCAGAGAAACTCTGTCTAGAAAAACAAAAACAAAAAACAAACTAAACCAAAACAACAACAAAAAAGAGTTTAAGGTTGGCCTTGGCTACACAGCAAGTCCAGGTCCAGTCTGGGGTACATGGGAGCAGGTTTCAACACCACAACCAAAAATTGAGGTCAGCCTGGGTTACAGAGAAAGTTCAAGACTGGCCTAGGCTTTGCAGTGGGTTCCAGCCTAGCATGGACTGAGTTGGACCCTGTGTCAAACAAAATAAAAACTAAGTAAGATGTCTCAGAAAGGCAGAATCTAAGGCTCAGGTGATACAATGCCTGCTCAGTGACTTTCCTGAAGCCCTGGCCTCCATCCCAGCACTGGGGAGACAGAGGCAGGAGTTTACGATCATCCTCAGCTGCATAGTTTGAAGCCAACTGGTACAAAGACTTTGGGATGATAATATTTGAGTGATGGAGGTTAAATAAAGTGTGTGGATGGTCCTTGTTACATCTAGTTTTATTTATTTATTTATTTTTAAAGATTTATTTATTATGTATACAGCATGTATGACTTCATGCCAGAAGAGGGCACCAGATCCCATTATAAGTGGTTGTGAGCCACCATGTGGTTGCTGGGAATTGAACTCAGGACTTCTGGAAGAGCAGCCAGTGCTCTTAACCTCTGAGCCATCTCTCCAGCCCCACATTTAGTTTTTTAATTAAATTAAATTGACTTACTTCTTTTATATGTATGGGTGTGTTTCCTGTCTGTGCATAGCATGTGTGTTTAGGGCCTAGGGAGGCCGGAAGGTGCCAGATGCCCTGGGACCAGAGTTGCAGATAGTTGTTAGCTGTTATGTGAGTTAGGAGAATTGAACCTGTGTCATCTGGAAGAGCAGTCAGAGATCCGCCCGGCTCTGCCTCCCGAGGGCTGGGATTAAAGGCGTGCGCCACCACCGCCCGGCTGGTTTTTTATTTTATGTGCACTGGTGTCTCGTCTGCATGTATTTCTGTGTGAGGGTTGTCAGATCCCCTGGAACTGGAGTTATACCGATGGTTGTGAGCTGCCATGTGGGTGCTGGGAATTGAACCTGGGTCCTCTGGAAGAGCAGCCAGTACTACTTATTCTTCTTTTTTTTTTCTTTAAGGTTTACTTATTATGTATACAGTGTTCTGCCTGCATGTATGCCTGCATGCCAGAAGAGGGCGCCAGATCTCATTATAGGTGGTTGAGAGCCACCATGTGGTTGCTGGGAATTGAACTCAGGACCTCTGGAAGAACAGCCAGTGCTCTTAACCTCTGAGCCATCTCTCCAGCTGGCCGTCAGTACTCTTAACTCTTTTTTTTTTTTGGTTTTTCGAGACAGGATTTCTCTGTGTAGCTTTGCGCCTCTCCTGGAACTCACTTGGTAGCCCAGGCTGGCCTTGAACTCACAGAGATCCGCCTGGCTCTGCCTCCCGAGCGCTGGGATTAAAGGCGTGCGCCACTACTGCCCGGCGAGTACTCTTAACTCTTAAAGAGCTGTCTCTCCAGCTCTTTTGATTTTTAAATTTTTTTTTCCAGAGCTGAGGACCGAACCCAGGGCCTTGTGCTTGCTAGGCAAGCGCTCTACCACTGAGCTAAATCCCCAATTTTAAAATTTTTGTTTATTTTATGTGCATTGGTGCTTTGCCTGTATGTGTGTCTGTTTGAGGGTGTCAGAAGCCCAAGAACTGGAGTTACAGACAGTTGTGTCCCTGGAAGAGCAGTCAGTGCTCTTAACCGCTGAGCCATCTCTTCAGCCCCTATTTGTTTGATTTAATTAAGACAGACTCTCACTGTGTAGTCCTGGCTGGCCTCAAACTCACAGAGATATGCCTGTCTTTGCATCCAAAGTGCTGAATTTAAAGGTGTGTGCCATCATACCTAGTCTTTTTGGGGTTTTAAAATTTTTATTTATGGGGCTGGAAAAATGACTTAGCAGTTGAGAGCACTGGCTGCTCTTCCAGAGGACCTGGGTTCAATTCCCAGCACCCACAAGGCAGCTCACAACTGTCTGTAACTCCTGTTCCAAGGGATCCAACACCCCCACACGGACATACATGTAGTCAAAACACCAATACACATAAACTAAAGAAGAGAAATAAATCATTTAAAATTTATTTATTTTTAAAGATTTATTTATTTATTATGTATACAGTGTAATGTCTACATGTATCCTTGCAGGCCAGAAGAGGGCACCAGATCTCACTGTAGATGGTTGTGAGCCACCATGTGGGTGCTGGGAATTGAACTCAGGACCTCTGGAAGAACAGCCAGTGGTCTTAACCACTGAGCCATCTCTCCAGCCCTCAAATTTATTTATTATGTGTGTGTGCCGCTCTGTGGTGTGGAGGCCAGAGGACAGCCGGTGGGAAGTAGTTCTTTTCTTGTACCATGTAGGTGCTGGAGACGAAACACAGGTATG